GAAAATGTCGCATGCATCCAGATCTTAAGTTGATTCCGCAAGTTTGTAGCTCCGATCTGAGTAATCAACTTCACGCTGTAGGACTTTCCAGGGAATAAATTTATCTTCATTTGGGTGGTAGCTCCCTAAAAATGGTTAAACTACTGAAATCTACCCTACATGAAATGAGTTATGTAACTAATCATCTGCATTTGTGTGCGTTTTCTCAAACGGAATGCACAGCCACGTTTGTGCAGCTTTACTTCGAAAGGTCCAATGTTACTCAAACGCGAGACAGTGAGAAAGATGGCCGTATTTGCGTTGCGAGTGAAGTTTGCATTTCAAGTGCGACGTTAACACTGTTTGATTTCTGCGGGTCGAATATTTGATGTGTAAAATTCACAAATACCGAAAGTTTTTCGAGGTCTGGTTTTGAAGAAAGAACGGCAGTTGCATTCCCACGTTCAAATGCCCACCGAAGCTCTTAGCAAGGCCATTTACAGGGTTTCTCTGATGGTTCGGTGCACCAACGATTTATTGCCACACAGTCCCATCCATTCAGAGCCGCGGTGCACCACTTAATGCCATACACCTTGTAGATGTGAATTTCTGCCTAATCAGCTGGGCTTGCTTGTTCGGTAAATTTCTTGGAATTCTGCTAAACAGACTCCGTTAGCTGATGGACAGAAATTTGCGCGTAGGTACCTTTAAAAGGTTCAAATAATTTGACTCAGTGGGTTCTAATCCAGAACCTTATTCCTTTCTTTTTATTAAACTAGTAGGTAGATCAGCGAAGCAGTTTACCACACAGAAAATGGGAGACAAAATAAGGACAGATTTTGTGTTGGTAGAGTTGCTCACGCGTTCTCGATGGTTGTCTTCCTTTGTCCAAGTTTGGCTTGGATGGATGAGTTCCAAAAATTTCCGTTACTTTGCCAGATGCTGTTTGGGCTAAGCCCTTGAGGTGAAGTACGCGGAACACGAAGAATGCTTGTGTCAGTGACGTCCCTCAAGTTACCTCATTATTTATTCACAGAACACATTTGGGTGTGCTAAGGTAGTTCCCTGCATTAAGACCACCTAGATGAATTTGGCTTCTACGTGTTGCACTCTAGGCCTCTTCACTCGAGTAGCTTAATACAGGCGGTTTAGCCCTAAGTCGATTAGATACCCCACCGGCGTTGGTAATCGGGTCTGCGTACAACCGGTTGCGACGTGTCCACTTATGTAGCCCCGTCGAAAAGCCTTATTGATCGTCCTGGCCACTTGATTCCCAAGGTGCTTGAATGTGCGTACACGCCCTAGTGGCGTTATCGTGATAGTAAAAGCCGAAGGCTCTTCTGACAAGGGATTGGTGAATTAAATATCAAATAGTGGTTTTAACTACGAGCCTTCCACCAATAACCCCCACTTAAATCTACACATATCTTCCATTGTTACTGCGTCGCCAAGTAGCACTGTCTTGAACTATCCCGGAAGTAGTTGATTCGGCGATGCCGGTAGATTAATGGCCACGCGTCACATCCCCAGGTAACCGAGGTCCTTGGCGAAATCCTATTCGCGCTTTCATAAAGAGCTTTAGGGAACTCTTGTGTTCACACCGCCTCGGAAACAAATAAAGTCTCGCACTGTACGTATTTACAAATGCGTCTTACAGGATCATGGCTACATTGTAACGAAGTTTAGCATCGGTGATGATGAATTTTCCTTCCAGAGTTCTCTCAAGTTGTTTTGAGCTCAAGTGGGTTTACAAACCCAATTTCCAGTAGTTTTTTTTTCATTAAACTAATGCAGTTATGTTAACAGGATTTGGATAATTAAGAGAGACCCAGAATTCCAGACAGTGCGTGGCAGCTAACAACTGGTTGTCTTTGAAGTCTTAATGGCTTTTTCTACTTATACCGAAATGACCATTGCTACTTACGTGTGCGTTCTGTACCCTAACGCCAGCTGCTCGAATATTCGTTTATTAACCCGGAAGTTTGAGTGCTTGTTTTGATCTGATTTTCAGTGTATCTTATTGTGAAGTAAATATTTTTTCCTCCGCGAATCCAGATGATTCCATTGGTTGAAAAGCAGTTTCGTCGGATGTTTACGTGCTAGACTCCCACGTGTTTTGTAGACCTTATTGACACCTTTACTGGGTATGTTCCAGTGTGAAAATAAATCGCTCCCACATCTCACAAAATGTGTTCACTGACGTGACAATTCCACGTGGCTGAAGCGTTCCTGTGATTTTCCACCCTTACCACTTATTCCATGCGTCCAGTCAGTTAGGGATTCGTGCAATCGACAGTTCTGCTGGTCGAAAATACTCCCTTGTCGCATCATCCCTGAGGTTCGCTGGAATACACAGCCTTTGACGGACTCAAACACACGCACACACACACTGGGATGAGTCATCTGATAAACCGAAATGTCATCTAAATTCCCCCTCTGCGTGGTTAGTGTTTGGCCAGAGCACTGGACAGCCCAGGTGTGCCGCGTGACTCATATCGGGGCCTCTACACTCTATGACTTATTCTAGGCGACGACAAAGGCTGCACGGGCACTAACACCGACAACCGAATAAAGAACGCCCTGCGAGAAGCCAAGGCCTGCGGTCTTCATTGTCTTGTCCATGCGGGCGAAAACGGCAGCGCGGCGTCGGTCAGTGAGGCCGTCTACGACATGTTCGCGGAGCGGATTGGCCACGGCTACCACATTCTCGACAACGCGTCCATCTACAGCGACATGAAGTCCAAAAATGTTCACTTTGAGGTGCGTTTGACTAGGCTAAGGTGTGTGCTTGACGTCCGTGGGTTTATAGCTATTTACGGGACAATGGGAAGTACCTGATCACACACAGGAAGTCGTCTAATAGCCCCGATGAATGTTAAAAATATGGTTAAAAAACACCCATTTCAGCGCCTATAGAAATAATTTAACTCACGCACTATCAACGTGATTGGCTGTGACCCTGACCCTTATATAGCTGAGGGCATCCAATCTGTGAATCTGCTTAAAATCTAAAGTCGATGCCAGCCGCCGCACGTTGCAGGTGTTGAGGCGGACTGGTGATAGGCAGTTTGTTTGCACCTTGCCAAGTTGGTAAATTTCCATCAGTGACTCACAAACGTCTCTCATATACATTGCGGTTTGTTAGTAAATTCTAAGCCATTGTCTAAAAACTCGCACTACCGCCCGGGAGGAGGGCAACCGTAATCTCACTGCTTCGAAAAGAGTAAGTGTTGTCTGTGTGGTTATCTACAGTTCGTCGTGTCATTGCTGCCATTATCAAGAATATAGCCCGGTGTGACTTGCAAATGAACAAGCCACACTGTTTGTGTGCGTTGTCGGCACAATTGGTTTGATCCGTCCAATTGCCGTGTCGCGTATTCAGCAAAAACGGTTACGCAGCACGCAAACAACACACTGTGAGATCGTTTGCACATTGCCACGTAAATTTTGAGGAAACTGCCTAACCAGAGCCCCCTATCCTCTCATTTATCGTCGATACTTCTTTGAAAGCGTCACTTAGCAATCTGACAACTGATGAGGCTAGTTAGACAGCAGTTTAACACGCCGTCTCTCCCCCATCGTTTCGATGCTACCTGATGGAACATGTGATGTCGTATTCCGATATTTATCCGAATAGAGAGAGGGTTGTCAAATAATGTGATTCATCCAGTGGCCAGAATATTGTTTAATTGAAAGCTGTCTCCACTTACTGAGTTGCTATACCAATGAGTTATTGTATGACGAATAAGGTCCCCAGTGCTTAAACCCAAAAGCGTCATGTGCATTTTCAGTTTTGCTTTTCTTAATTTAGTATGAAACCGGGCATATTTATGCATTGGTAACTGGCACATACCCACCCCACTAGTGAACGCTGCTAAAGTTGATTTTAAAATGACTGAGAATAAGACCTCACAGCACGAGACACGGATTTAGAGAGTCTCTCGCTGTGTGTGCACTTTGTATGTGTTTAGAGTTAATATTACGTTCACAGTTTTTGATTACGGTTATCAGTTGTAGTGTACGAATCGGTTGTTTTGTATAGGAGCACTGTGTCTAAACGAAGGCAGATGCAATAGCTCGCGGTATCTATGGCCACCAAACTCTGATGCCACTTAATTTGTAGTTGCCATTGTACTGAACTCATCGTAGGTTTATTGATTTTAATCACCAATGTGGTCTGCAATAATTGAATTGGTTTATGTTGAAGTGTTCCAATATTTCCAAGGTGTGGCAAAAGTTCACATAGTGTGGAACCTTCACCAAACGAACAATCTGACTAGGTTTGTGAGAGTTGAAGTTCAGGCGCCATCACGATTGGCTGGCGATATGGGTGGTACTTTTGTGGGTGTACCTGGAGTGTTTAGGCTACTGCCGTCGCAGTGGAATGCAGTTCTGGGTAGCCAGGTTATCAGCGCAATTTAATTGCATTAAGCATGCTTTGCTTGAGAAGGAGGCATGAGTTACACCTGCATTTATCAGCTGAAATGCTGCGGACTCTTCCACCGCTTTTTTTTTCGAGAAAGGAAATTAAGCAGTAAACGACACGCAAACTTTACGTACTCTCATCAATGTTTGCGTAATGGACATTTACTACCCCCTGATTAAAGGACTTGACTGTTCAAGGTGGCACATCCTTCAGATGTCTTATCAAAGCCCTAAGTCTGATTTTTCTACACATTTCTTGACTTTGAGGGGTCGTCTGTTAGTCTTTAAGCCTCGGAGGTGCCTGGTTACATCGTTCCATTGAGAAATCTTGTGTTCAGCCGCATTAAGTTACCGAGCATTCATTAAAGAGACCAAGACAGCGGAAGGAGGTGTTTACGTCTGATTTTAAACCTTCGTTAGAGGCGTGACGTGATGTCCAACGCCACCCGAAGTTGGAAGGGTGCACATCACCGGAAGTCCTTGCATCCTAAACACACACACAGACACACTGTCCCGTCGACATCGTTTTTTCGATCGATAATTCCTGCTGAACCTGATTACATTTATCTTCGCGACGAGAAAGGGGCCCGCTGCTGTCCCACAGTAACTCGAATCCCCAACACGCACACCCCACTAACATTGGATGCGACAGGTCCAGTTCAACTAGGGTGGTGTTTGGACGTCTTTTCGAAAAGAAAATTGTTTTTCCCCCAGGCAGGAACCCAAATCCCATTTCTACGGTCTACTTACAGCAGCATTTTGTGCGGAAAAGTAGACCGATTTTTCACAATTATAGAACACCTCGTGTGCTACGGACTCCTGAAACCACCCTGCAGGTGTGCTGACGGCGCGTGCGTCGGAAGTCGTCTGGGCAAATTTTTATTGCCGTGTAAGCCCGCCACGTGGTGTAATGCGTGGTAACGTTGTTTTGCTAAAAGCACGCGGCGCAACGTGCGTCACGTCATTTCCTGTTGTGCCCGTGGTGACGTCGTAGGCTTCACGAATTGCACGTTGGATGGCACTGCCTGTTACGCGATTAACTTCGGTCCTGCTATGCTGGCAAGTAATTTTCCGTGTTGATTTTGCGGTCCACTGACCCTCTGCTGCCGTCACACGCTAAGGCTCATGGTTTTAGGCCGCCACCTGTGTGCAATTTATCATGCCACTAAAGCTTGGCTACACGAATTACCAACAACTTAAGATGTTGCCGCGACAGTGTTTTTTTTGGTTTTAGCGGTTAAGTGCGAATGCCGATCGGTAATTTTTGATTTCACCAGCGTCCAGATGGTGTTCCGGTTTGTACTGTTATTTATTTAGCTAAACACGGAGACTTGCGCTTACTCAGAGTGAAGTGTTTTTTCCTGCGTGCAGTCCACATTGTTGTGATGTCAAACACATCGAAAAAAATTACTTGTTTCACAGTTCCAGTAAACTATTTTGTGGTCCTCTCGACACAGACATATGTCAATCAAGCCAGGAGACGAAATCCTGCTGGAACCACTGATTTTGGGGTATCTGTGCGGCTGTGAAATGCTTCAACATTTTCGGCTTAATTAGCACCTTATCTGATGACGATATAATGGAGAGTGACACGACGTTTATCGACACTGGTCGTCGAATTTCTCACTTGAGCTGTGCTTCGGTCGTCGTCCGTTTTGGCAGTACACATTTACGGGACAAAGCTGTCTTGCGCAGAGCCCGTTAAAATTGTACACACGCGCGACACGATAACACCGCGGAGCAAAGTGCAGTTCCACACAAATATTTATACATTAGACACGTCATTATTAGTAGATGCGCTTGGCTGCGATCCAGTGAAAGGCGTGGGAGAATGCGCACCATACTATGGTCAACAGGTTTTATTGCTGATTTCACAGGCAACACGAGGTCATGCGCGGCAAAGCCCGCCCACGTCAGCACACTGAAATAGTTACAGCGGGCGTGGCTTAATTTGGCAGGTGAGCTCGACCTCCGGTGCATTTGACTCCCACACACCCCTGGGACCCGTTTTTGAGTGCGATTGTGGCGAGCCGAGTTAGCAAGCTTGAACGACCACGATCCAATCGATTTTCCTGAATGCACTTCACGCAACTACGCGCGTGCAGGAATCGATATTTACCAGAGCTATATAAACTCACTCGTTATCCTGTACATACACACACGGCTGCTGCATTAATAAATTGGTCGAGCTGCGCGCCATCTGCAGTTCTACCCTTCTTTCGGCCGGGGCCTTGTCAGTGTAAATCGCCGGCCCTGGTGTGGTTTCCAAAACCGCACCGGGGCACGCTACAAGATAATCCTCGTCGAATCCCTTCCATTCCTCCCTGAAAAGCTCTTATTGGTGCGCGAGTAGTTACTGCGTTTTTCGTTGTCGCGATCAGGTGTGTCCGCTGTCGAGCCGGCTAACGGGGTCCGTCAGCTGTGACTGGAGCCAGCACCCCGTGCATTACTTCATTCGAGACGGCATCAACTTCTCCATTTCAACGGACGACCCCACCGTCACCGGCCAATGGCTTATCGAGGAGGAGAAAATGCTCCTCACTAAGGTCGGTCTGACCGCTGAGCAGTTGAAGGCGGCCAACCTGAGAGCCGCCAAGGCCTGCTTCCTCGGTGGAGAGGACAAGGAGGATCTGCTGCGTCATATTTGCGCCAGGCGCGACTCGGCCAACATTTGCGCCTAATGCACACCCCCCCCCATGGAATTAGTCAATTGTGCCTTTATATACTCGAAAAAAAGCTTTATAGTCCTTGCGCTCTTTCAGGCGTCTGTATCGTGTGAGGTGTGGTAATGCGAGCTTGTCTTCTATAAAATGTAACTTTTGGACATCAAATATCATTGATATTGTTGACTTCTTTCGACATAACGAGCACTGTTTGAATGCAAAGTTCAATACAAGCATTGTTTGGCCTTTTCCGAGCTTGTATCTTAATCGGGTGGTACTGAAAAGGGGCTAGAAATACTGCCTCGGCCTGATGCTGTAAGGAGGATGTGAAATCTGAGAAGCAATGCCAGGGTAGACGAGGAACCTCAACTTGGCACACGATACGACTGATAGCTGAAACAACAGCGTCAGAAGCACGGTTGACTCACCGATTCCCTGGTCCACTCGGCTAGGCCATGACTAGCCCTCAAGCACAGCCCACATTGCCTAATGTGGGATTATTCAGCGACACACCTCAGGCGTCGGAAGTCCTCGTGGTTAGAGCGGATATATCAACCTGAACTACCATTGTATGCCTACACTTACGTGTGGCCCGCACACAGTAGGTCTTGCTAGATATTACGAACGAGGAAACACTGGAAAATGTTTACCATACCGTTTATTCCGCAGTCAATGCGTTTTGAAATCTTGAACAGCTTGATAGGGTGATCATAAAAAACGGCGTACTTATAGTATATAAGTAGAGTGTATTAATTTGTACCGCAGCCCGGTGAAGAGAGACCGCTATTATATTTGTAGGAATGGAACTACATAAGCGAGGGTGAAAGGCTGTTAGCATTCGATTTTTCTTTGCACATAAGAGACTATGAAGGACGCCGCGGCCTCACAAAGTGCGACCCACGCCATTAATAAGACGCAGCTGGGGATGTAGTGAACAACGACAACCAGCCAGCCAACGGGGATCTGGTTGTAGAAGGCACGGGCCTCACGACTTGCCGCAACCTGGTCCTCAGTAAGGCGCACGCAGGGCGATTGGAAGACCAACCAGCCAATCAAAATTCCCTGGAGGGCGTAACGTAAACATTGGGCCACCAGGCTTGAAACGACCTACAACGACAGAGAAATTCAAATTGGCGCTTTGTAACAAAAGGCCCTCCGAATTGCCTACAGATAACCACCGTTGAACCATCAGTCACTCCGGGCTTTTAAAAACGCTTATGATTTAAGGGGAAATGCTGTTAATAAATAAAAATTATAAATGACGAGAAATGTTTAGGTGGAGTGACTACACAAGACCGATCAGTTTCCCAAATACTTGGAACGCAATCATTAGCTTTACAGTGATGACTCCACGATCGTTGAGTCGCTAAAGGCTTAACTGAAACACGGTAATCATCAATGGGGGTAGTTTAGCACCAATCTTGTTAAATAGAAGTTTACCCAGTGTGCAAATTCCTAGAAATCTGCATATTATGAAAGCGAACAAACCAAGTGCACAAAACCTATGCCCAGTATCCTGGTTTGAATAATTAGTCACAATTACTTTTGTTTCCTGCTACGCATTTGTCACTACCAGCTCTACAAAACGCCACAAGGTCCACCTATCACCAGTCCATCGGATTAACACGACGTCTGTATGCAATATCGTTGATGTAAACTTTAAGGAACATGAAGAAAAACCCTTCACGAGCCACAACCAATGAGCGTTTCTAGAAAAGTAAACTAGCAATTTGAGTTTAATGAGACAGGTGAGAAAAACTACTTTGCCAACACAACTACGAATGCTAACCGTTGTTCCGAGCTGAGATCGCTCGCATGCTGCCTGTTGTCGTTCGAGGACTTTTAATTTCCTCTCTAATTTAGAGTAGGACGCGAAGTTGTCGACCATATTCAACTGACTCATTTGACGCCGGAGATCACGAATCTCCTTCTCAGTTTGCATGAAAGCAGTATGACGGGCACGACAAGACGGTAAGATGATAGTCGCTAGCTTGGGCAGCACAATTGGCAAGAAGAGACCAACCAAACGGGAAACAATGATTGCAATTAAGGAAAACGAAAGGTGGGACAACCAAGTAGAGTAGACCTCCTCAGTTGCCATCGTCATCTTCGGTGATTCCATGATAGAAATTGTTGTACACCTACAAAAACCGAAGAAAGTTTGCACGATAAGAAAACTTTACACGGAGGATGTAAATGTGCAGGAACGTCAGAACTGTTAGCATATTCAACCAAGGAGCACTTCTTCAAAATGGGCAACACAAGAAACACTGGAATATAACAACCCGCATAACCCACCTCGCTTTCGATTGTTCTTGTTAGAAGCTGCGTTTCAGCGATCTGGCTCAAAAGTTGTCGGACTTTAGACAGACGCTGCTGGAAACTTTTGGTGATCAGGTGAACAAGTTTTGCACTCTCCCTGCGGTATTCTGAAAGAAGTTGCCTAGTTGCTTCGTCTTGAATTTCGAGAGAGGCTTCTTCGGCAGGAAGGGAATTAATTAAAAGCTCTATCTGCTTCGCTGTTGCGGCTATAGAAACTGCAAATTTGTGGGAAATATCTAAGAGACACAAGAAAGGGAATTCGCTGAGTTGGAGTTAAAGTTTAATAAAATAAACAGCATGGGCTCGAAATTACCCTCCTGATTTTGACTCTGAAGAAGCGCTTGGAACTCCGGATTGGAAGTCCACTCCTTCTCTATACGACCGTTATAGTTAAGTTCACTAAAAAAGCTTGGCTGAGCTATCTGCTGAATGACTCCAACAGCGTTACACAAATTCTGGGCTTGTAAATTTATGGCGTCCTGCAACTCTGTCAAGCGATCGGCCATTTAGGGCCCCCCACCAATGCTGTTAAATATCGAGCCTTAAAAACATCAAACCTATTTAAGTTCATCAGAAGGGGGAAATTTAATTGTAGGATAAATCTGCAGACTTAATTAATATTTAAAGCAAGACAGAATTAATTTGTGGTACCGACATTCCGATCCCCGGAAGAAGGCAGATTGCGAAAACTGAGTAACAACATTGATTCAAAAAATTAAGTTTAATAACAGCAAAGAAAATCATATATAATAAACTTTTGAATTCTGTAAATTATTGATAAGGTATGATAGCTAAATACAGCTGAAATGTGTTGATAAAAATGAACCGAAAATTCTCTACATGTTGGTCAAATTTAGGTGACTTATTTCGTTAAATGCAGATTTTAAGATTGATTGTGAGCCATATTTTGAACAGCTTTTAGATATAAAACCTAGGGATGCAAATCTTTTTAATTGGCCTTCAGACCAACTTGAGGAGACAAAAAAATTCTCTTGGATGATTACTGGGAGGAAAAAATTGAGATGTTGCATGTGTTAGATTAAAAAGCCTACCGTGCTGCTATGACTGTGACTTGGACTACTTGGTCATGGCTGTTGTTAGAATTTTGATCGATTATGGATCCAATTTTACTTCTCGAATGACCAATCGAAATCTGGTCGTGTCCAAAGGGGCTTACTGTTTCTCGAGTAAAATTGTGAAGAAGTGTCTACAACAATAAAGTTATTTGTTGGCTGGAAGTGTATTTGTTCACAAACCACGGCATCATAACGACCTAAACTATCATCTTTTTAGATATTTCGTGCAAAATTTGAAAAAGGAAAGTCATTTTCGAACTTCTGTCGACGATCGTAATAATTTCATGTTGCAGGTTATTTAAAACCGATATCGGCCCACCGATACCTAAGATTTTAGACTTTTTCCAGTAAAATCTATGTCCATAAATTTTAAATAATTGCTTTTTATTTAGAGGAATTATGACCTCAAAAATCTATAAACCATGTTTAGTTTCTAAATGAATAATTTTTAATTGTTGGAAAGAATTCTCATTTCTTGAAGAAGATAAAACACCATCTTTTTTTCTGAAGACTTTAACTTAGCCATTTGTACAAGGTTGACACTTTAGTCAATTCTCGACAGTCGCGATGACATTTATGCAACCGGTCTCTGGATTTATTCATCTCATTCATTTCCTGCTGAACCTCAATGTTAATGCTGGAGCAAGTGATGGCAGAGCCCAGCTAACCCACGATGTTACCACTGTAGGTTTCGGGCCCATTGTAAGAACAAGAGTGAGAGGTAACGGATAACTTTACTAGACACAGAAAGCACTACAGTCCGGTCACAAACTGGTCGGTCCGTACAGAGAAAACAAGGGCTTTATATATCCTTGTCCTGTTCTTCCTGTTCTCCCGTTGGTCCGTTTCGCGTCGCTACAATGGAGACGGAAAACTCGTGAGCGGATTGGCTTTCAGCCCCCGGCGCGTCATTCCATGCCCGCACGCCGCAACGCAGCCGGAAGTCACACCCCCGGTCACGTGACGTCGCCTCCGCGCCGTGCTGACTACCATCACCAATATGGCTGCCATCTGTCAGTCCGCTACACCACGTCATTAACATGAGGGAATAAATGCACATTCATGCTAACACTTTTAGCCACCTGGTAAATGACTGAGCATTCGGTGCCTTTCCCCATCGCTGGATTCTTTCCATCTTATCCAGTCTCATTTAGTCAAGTGCGCGCAAACGTGTTGAGTTCTACAGCGCGGCTTCGACAATTGTTACAAATACCATATTCAAATAACATGGTCAAATATTTGTGTAAAATTAACTTTGACTGACAACCTCTGAAAAGACTGGCAAAAATGCTTAATATATTGTTTCCTCTTAAAATATTATAAAGTTAAGTTAGAGTTGAAGACACAAGGTTTAAAGCTGTTAAATATTGTCCGAAATATCACGACGGCTTTCTTTTAAAATTTACTTGGTTGTGAAAGTAATTTGAATACGCTATACTTGTAGGGATTAAATATAGTGTATGTGCTGAATGAACATCAATCACATTCATTCTCATACAATGTGCTTCTGAAGTAGGAATCGGATACGCATTTTATGTGAATACAGTATGATGCACGGTATGCCGTAAGATCTTTTCGTGAACTAACATTTACAATCATAAAATTAAAGCATAAATTTAAAAAAGATTAAAAACTAGCTTGAAGAGAACGAGCAATTTAGATTATGGCACAAGACAATGTTTCTTCTAACTCTAAGTCTAAGGGTTCAGGTTTCCCATCTTTGACAAATTGCAGTGGTTTCAAAAGTAAGAACAGATTTCAATTAAATTTAAGTCTTCTGCCGGAATTTTTTCAGATCTCGTTATTTAAATTAGGCCTCGGTTTTTGTCAATCGCACATGTCAGTTTACATTTTTCCAAAAAAGCACTAACATCGCACAGATAATTGCCATGGACTTTCTTACGAAAACAACGAATTTTCAAAATAGATCAACATTTCCAAAATAAATTTATTTAAGACAAATTGTTTTTTTTTAATTTCTGTTATAGTAAACCATTAGGGAAAACTAAACCCCGTTTTTGGACAAACATTGGCTTGAAGAGGGTCTTGGTTCAAATCAATCCCTTAATTGGTTGCTGAATGGCTTTGACTTTTAATTACTTAATCAACCCGTCAGTAAATCACGTTTAATAACTAGTGTGAATTAATTTAAATTAATTAATTCAGCTCCATCGTATTGTATGATTTATATTAAGTCACCAATGTTCACTGTGCTGGCGTAACTGGTGACGCTCGTTGGATCAAAGTGTTTCCTGAGTCTGACTGTGCCTTGCAATGAGTTCCCACAGGCGACTGTTAAATATCCTTATAAGATGCTAGCGTCGTCAGATTTAGGCTCAATAGATGTAGGAGTTGAGTAGTGAAAGAATTCAGAGTAGCGTCTTCGTAGGAACACCATGGGCCTGAAGGCCAAGCCACTTGAACGCAGTTAGAGCCAACATACTCCTATTTCGGTCAAAAAGAGTCCAAATTGAAGTCACTAATTGAAAACTGCTCAATATTCACGCGAATTTACTCAGTAGCTGATAAACCAATCGAAGTTGCGTTGGCGCGTGTACGGGGAGTTACCGTTGATGAATAATAGCTTCCGATTACTCTCGGATCCTTTGGCTAACCATTTTCCAAAGTTATATGAAAAATGCGGAAAACATTTACTAAATATAGTCAATAAAATAATTGCAATCGTCATGCAGAATTCAAGGAGGCCATGTGAAGGATCTAAAACAGCCGGCTCATATTTAACTCACGCATTCTACCCCTAAGCACCTTTCACCAAATAGGCAAGTCAAAGGCTGACGAATTGCAGCATTGCAGTAGTCAACCCAGTCCCAACTCCCACCAGTCCTATACAGGTAAGCAACCTAGCAAGCCAGAAGGACAACCACAAACAGCAACCCTTCTGACGCGGGGACGCTCACGGATTAAAGAAGTCACGGAAGTCCAATTCACGCCAACTGAGTGGACAAGACAAAAGCTTATGCGAAAGGCAAATGGCGAATGGCCGAAAATTCGATGGTGCTAGACTTACACAAGTCAGGGAGATTATAGCTTTCCTGTCAAGGAAAAATGCATAAGCATAAGCCTGCGTTGATAAAGCTACTAGGTAGTTGTCATAGTAACTAGCACTGCAATAAGTACAGTCCAGCAGGTAAAACAAGATTCGTTTACCACCATCAAGTTAAGTCAATGGGTTTTGCATGTTTTTTTTTTAAATTTATTTTAAACAGTTCCTTGAACATTCTGAATTGGTTTCAGTTTTGCAACCAAGCTTGATGTAGTTGTACTTGTGATCGTGGCCGTTTCTGAGCGAAATTGTCTCGACATCCTCTGACGTGGCTTCGGCTGCGATCGACACCAGACTGGTTCCGCCGATAATCCGCTTTGAAATTTTCTATTTCTGAATAACGCGCGTCGGAGTGCTCTCTTTTGTACCTTGCATCAAGATCGTTGAATTCGTTCATTTTCTGTTGTACTTTTTCAATTTCATTCGTTGTAAGTCCACGTAGGGGGAATTCCTCCCAGAGGCACACGTGAACCATTCCCTCGGCGTCCACTGAAAAAGCATTGAATTTTGATTCTCCTGATAACTGAACTCCATTTTCAAAGATCATGTGATTCCTGTTGCCAAGCGAAATAAGGCCACTTGGAATTGTGGAATTGTAGTCTAAAACCACACCCCCATGTTTTAGCAATGAAATTTCGTGAGAGGAAATTTCCCGAAGATAGAAGCCTCCAGAATCATGACCAGCCACAGACGTAAAAAGAGTGTCCTTCGCGAAATGCTCCGCCAGTATACCGGCTCCTTGAACAGCTGCTTCTTCGGCACTTATGTTTTTCATTATCGTGGCCCCCGGAAAGCGGGTCGTTAGGAGTTCTTCCACAAATTGCATTCGACTTCCACCTCCGATAAGAACAACCTTGCACACACGCGACTTGATTTTTCTTATGACTTTTTCTAGGCGTTTGATATTGCTTTTGCAAGCTTTCCGGAAGTCATCCGAGGTGTACTTTCCTTTAAAATCGATGCCGTCTGCGGCCTCATAAATACAGAAGGAAACTCCAAACGGGTCGCTCAATCTAAGACGACGTTTGATATCCTCTGCTTCTTTCAAAAGAAGCGACCCGGACTTAATCTTATACTTGTAATTATACTGAAAGCTAAATTTCCGCCTCAGGTCTTCTGCCAAGTCACGTGTGAAATCGATACCACCCAGACGCTCACCAAACGCCTCTTTTACCACCACTGAATTCCAACTGATGTCAGCCACCGCGACATCTAGAAATCCAGCGCCGAGTTTGAAAATCAAGACATCCTTTTGAACAGGGTCGTCACGGGCAAAATTGTCAACTCCGTAGGCCACTGCTGCCGCCGTAGATTCGTTAACAACACGAATTTTCGCTCCAGGGACGACCACCTCAATAAGTTGCTTCAAAATCACTCGCTCTGAGCTCGTGAAACAAACTGGAACAGTGGCAACGAGATGCGTCACATCATCGTTCACCGTTTGCTTCAGAAGATTTTCCAACAGCATAGCATAATCGACACCGTTTTCTTTAAGATCGTTTCGTCTCACGTCGCTGATGACCCTATCCGCCGCACTGGGAAACTGAGCTGATCTGCCGAAGAGACGGTGCGTGGAAAGGATCTTGATCAGACTGGGAATCTCCCGGTTCGCATTGTTATCGGTAAGCACACGAGCTGGATTGCAACCAGAGGCTGCACGGGACGAGACTGTTCCCACATCGACACCAACCTTCATATCTTCTAAGTGTCGTTTCTTTGAGGCACCCAGTTGTGTGTGTGTGTGTGCAAGGGCTGCTCACAAAATCTGCGCCTATTGGCAACTGACTGTAGTTTAACGAAGTAGCTTTAAGGCGTTCTTGCAAAGCCAAGAGGGTTGTGGCGAGCTGTGAGCTAACACAGCAATCGTGGGCAAACGCAATAAGCAAGCGTGAGAGAACTTGATTCACTTAGTTTACGTGAACAAATTCCCACAACCTTCCTTCCCAGAACATTTGCTCACTACCGGTTGTGGCCAGCTTTAGGAAATAATTGCGAGTCAGCTGTGGCGAGCAGCAAGCGAACACGGCAAGCGTGAGCGACCATGATTCAATTGGTTGACGTGAATGCACCTCACGTAATTGTGTTCGTCCATGGATCAGTGCTTAGCCGATCCCGTATAAACTGACATACACACCACCGCTACTACATTAATAAATAAGTTAAGCTGCGCGTTATTTGCATTTCTGCTCTTATTTCGGCCGGGCCGTGTCAGTGTAGATCGTCAGCCTTTGTGTGGCTCCCACAACCGCACAGGGGGCCGCAACATGGTAAGAGACACGAATTTAAAAAAAATTGCAATAAGTACTTTAGGTATAACACACCCTTATTGGCTAAGCCACTGCGCAAAAGTCTTTAACGATAAGGTAAAATAAGAACAAACAGGCATTAATGTTAGGTATAAAACACACGAATAACAAAATAATTAGTTCCGTTGTTTAGACAAACCCTTAAATGGCGTTTATAGCTTGTTAGTCCAAAAACGCAAGCTGATAACGTGCTACATGTAAACACAAAACTAAGACTAAGCTGTCGTAAGGCTCAAAGCAAATAACCACTTTTAATTTTAGATTTTGACTTGAGCATGATAATATTCACAGGGATTAGGATGAATCCTTTGTTGGAGAAGACAGCCTTAAATCTCTCCGAATATTTGTAGTTTTTGTTACCACGATGTAGACCAGAAACGAGTAAACAAATTAGCCTCATGACGGTCGCATTCTGCGCTAACCTAGTTCCCTCTGCAGTGTCTCTCAAGGTGGAGTGAAGGTAGGGAGCTTAATTTTAGTTTTAAGAAAGCAGAAACCAACAGATCAATGATTAGCTAGGACGATGTCTTAGGTCGTTTACGCATAAGTGATATTACAAGCCACAACGCACCACCAACATAACCGCATTGATTTCTGTCAAACGGTGCATCGCACTAGAATGCGCAAACCGCCACCAATCAGATTGTGGCAGCGTAACTGTTCTCACTGCCTTCCAAATACTTGAGCTAAAATTAGCAAGAAGGAGCCAGCACATCGCGTTTTCGCATCAGACAACTAGGATGCCAAGCGCATTTGCTACTCACGCAAACGCACATGCTTGTGCAAGAATCACATGGGAAAGCGATTGTTGAGTATGATAATTCACAAATATACTGAGGCGTCGTTAGAGCCTTCACTTCAGGTCGTTGATACAAACAAACCTGGCTGCAATTGTGTAGTACGCGAAACCGGAATTGAAGGATTGGGTGAAAAGATGGATGTACTCTGTTACAATTCCGAGTCAAGTTTGGCTCGAACCATGTATGCGAGTGGCTGAATCATCAGTGGCGGGGTTTTGGCGAGTCATTTTTTAGGCCGTTGCAAATTTTTCAAATGCGAATTACTGGAACATTTTACTGCACACATTGAAAGCCAAATCTTACCCACGCAGCATCCTAGTCATCCTTCCCACTGTCTCGCGTTTGATTAAAATTGGACCTTTCGAAGTAAAGCTGCACAGACTTTAACTGCGTGGTTGTGCATTCCGTTTGAGAAAACGCACACAAATGCAGATGATTAGTTACATAACTTGGTTCATGTAGGGTAGATTTCAGTAGTTTGATAATTTTTAAGGCGCTACCACTCAAATGAAGATAAATTTATTCCCTGGAAAGTCTTACAGCGTGAAGTTGATTACTCAGATCGGAGCTACAAACTTGCGGAATCAACTTAAGATCTGGATGCATGCGACATTTTCTTTTCAATTACCTAGGTGCCAAGTGAACTTGCACCGTGAATACAACCAAAATGCTCCACACCATCCCATCTTATTGTGTGCAGGCGCAGCCAACCCACGCGGTCGCTACAACATCAGACACCCACCACGATTCTCTCCTTAAAGCAAACAGTGCCTTTTGATTTGATTGTAAGGAATGTCAACAGTCACTTAGTGAGTGCTGTCGTCCAACCAACAAGTCCCAACCACACTTGTAAACCGGAGCACCTTGAACGAGACACAAGCACGCTACACGCGACGTCGCGTGTTGCGTGCGTGCGTGTCGACGTCGCCCAGGATAGCAAGGGGCAAGTACAACGATTTGCGTGATTTCACGTCCCGGTTGTGGAAAACTAAGCACTGTGGTACCATCAGGAGTAACTAAAGATGCAATCACGCGTATCGCCCACTCGTACATGTTGCCAGTGCGTACTGCTTCAAACAATCTGCGTAAATATAATTTATTCAATATTTAGTAGCAACCGTATTCCAGCTCGACTTGTGAGAACTCCAAAGCCAAAGAGTCAACAAGTTCCCTTGTTATTCCATTTGCAAGCATTTTTCTGTTACGCAAAATGAAGGGTGCACTCAGGTGTCGGAATTCGTTCGAACGACGACGTTGTGGCCAGCAAGCCGAGAAAAACGAATGTGGTTTCGGCGCGAAGCTGTCAAATGCCATGTCCAGTTGTTTTCGCAACCGATGATATTCAGTCTGGATGTCATTGGCTTTCCTAGATGGCATTAGCTGATGAAACGCGCGCAGAAATTCTGTACTGTAGCGGAAATGTCGTTCCTGAACGTGGCTCTTAGCTTGATTTGTTTGTGGTTGTCGACCGTCGATGTGGTCAAATCGCCTGCCTCTCGGTGGTAAGCACTCAACGAGCTGATCAATGACATTGCTGAAACCCTTTACATCGAGTAAACGATAACGATTTCTTTTCAGAAAGTGCCGACTGGACTGAACGCAGGAAGCCCAGTGATGCTTGGAAGGCCTTTCTTGATTGCTGTAAATGTCATTCGCCAAAAGATCGCGAACATACTTGTAAGTGTCCCTATAAGCCGGCCGGTTATAGCAGAGAAAAATCCCCGCGTCACGAAGCTGATCCCTGTGTTCAAGGAGAAGAGCACGAATCGGGGTTTCGCTGGGAGTTACTCGTGGCGGTCTTGTGAATTTGTCTGAGTGGCGAACCTGCTTTTGCGAGGGAATGGGCAATGAAAAGCTTGTTGATTGAGGCAAAAGTGGCTTGTCTTGCTTGCTTTTTACTGGACTTAAATGAATATTCGATGGAGATGAAGCACTCCTAGTCTTCCGTGCGTTGAAAACCTGAGGCTTTTGAAAAGATGTGATTTGTGTATCTGAATGCACACTACCACTCCTTTCCGTCATTGGTTTGCGTGTTTTTGTGGGGGAGCATGGATGGCCGTTTTGGACAAGAGGACGTTCGGTTTCCACGTGGCCCTCCGTCCGGTTGTCTGGAAAATGCCTTGGAACAACGCCGGAGTTTGCAAAAGGTGTTGGTCGCTTCATTGCAGTCGTAGAGCCTGAATCTTCTCGTCCAAAACGAATCAAGCTTGTTGAGTGCTCACTTACTGAACTCAAACCACTTGCGTCTCCGTGTTTTATTACTGTGGCCAAGGCGTCATTATTTCGCCTAGCCTCAGGTGTCCGGGTGTGAGTAGAAGACGTTTCCATCCGTCCAATTCCACTTTCACTTAAGACAGTAGTCTCTGTGGAATGGACCTCTACGGGTGTAGATTTCAGGACAGATGGAGTTTCACGCACAGCAGAGTCTTCAGGAAGAACTCCTCTATCATCGTGCCTCTGCTTACCAGAGTGAGTGGGTCTCAGAAAATCAGTTACTGGTAGTTGAATAGGAGCCTGTGAATTAAGGTTAGAAGAATTCCCTGTTCCTACTGACTCGCCACTAAGCATTTCTGCGTACTTCTTGTCAAACACGTCGGCTGAAGCCTCTTCGTTTTCCTTGAGCCACTTTATAGCTTCAGCTTTGGCTGCACCATCCACGAGAGAGTAGATGTGTACTTCCAGACAACTCTTTGCCAAAATTCGTTGATTTTCCTCCGATTCCTCTTTATGCAACCTCCTTAATTCACCACTCACAAGTGCACGATCATGTGAAGTGAGACCCTCAAATGCTGGATGGGACGTGAAGTCAATTTGTGTTGTTATTATGCCTTCCTCATCGATACATACTTGTCTAACAGAGTCACGTTTGAACTGCTTCGTCATCCGTCCTTCTGAAAGCTCCCCGTCTTTCCCTAAATCGTAATATTTGGTTGGAAGTCTCTCGGACTCAGGGATAACAATATCGCCGTCAAAACAGAGGGATAGAGTAGAAACTTCCCTCACTTCAAAATTTTTCTCATCAGAGGAGGTGAGGCTGTGGAGGAGAGTGTTGCTTGCCACGTGGTGAGCGATTATGGCAGCGCCTTGAACTGCTGCTTCTTCAGAATTAATATTTCGAGCAATGATTGCATGGGGGAACATCTCTTTGAGTAGGCTCTCGATGCCCCAAGACCGACTGCCACCCCCTACAGGCAAAATCTTCTTTACGGCTTCTGGCTCTTTCAGCTTCTCTAAGCACTCCCTGATTTTCTGGAAGACCTCCAAGGTTACTTCTGCAAAGTCCTCGTTTCGATAAACGCGTTTAAAGTCATGATCTTGCACTATGTTGTAAATGTGAATGGGCACACCTGTGGGGTTCCATCTGCAGATTCGCGATTTAACCGTCTCTGCCTCCATTCGAAGCTTTACCAAATTTACATTGATTGCCTCCTCTGGAAACTCGTCACCGATGTAACGATGGAGTTCATCAGTAACAGCCTGAGTCATGTCATCGCCTCCGACACTTTCTCCGTAGGCCTCTTTGACGGTAACCGAATTTGACCGAATGTCAACTAGAGCTACTCCAAGAAAGCCACCGCCCAAACTGAAGACCATCACGTCGTCCTCTCCTTCTCCTGGCTGAAGGTTTTCCAGTGCGTATGCTACTGCCGCGGCCGTAGTCTCATGAATGATACGCACGTTCACATCGTTGCCCAGAGCTATGCGAACAAGATCCTTCACGGCCTGCCGTTGGTGACTGTTAGCGGTTAGGGGAACCGTGATGACCACAACCTCAGGCTCCTGCGCTCTTGTAACTTGACTAACGAGGTTTTCGATGAGCATGGCGTAGTGGACCATGGCGTCGGGCCCATCCTCGTCGAAGAGCCTTCTTCGAACCCCGTTTACGAGTTTCGCCGGTGATTCAGACGGTGCCGCCAACTTGGCTGCACTGCCAAATAGTCGATTTCTAGGCTTGAGGCAGATAAGACTGGGGAACACTCTCTCCGCCCGTGAGTTCGTGAGCAACTGAGCTGTTTTTTCCTTTTCTCGAAAGGTTGCCGCACGACTATTGGAATTTCCAACATCTAATCCAATGTTCATCTGCGCGAGATGCTGATTTCGGTAAAGTGAATAATGGCGTGTGCTGCATTTCCACGCTCCTCCGATTGGCTACTTAAAAATATTGGCGAGCTTTACAACTTCCATTTTAGCGTGTGCACTCAAGTGAATCACTGTAGACACTATGCTGTCTCGGAATATACTACGAGGTGATTCAGAAAAACAAAGGGGTTTAGCGGGTCGTATAAAGGGACGTGTTAGGTAAATGCTGCGTACCTGACCCATAATATTTTCCAAATCAAAACCCGAAGAAATTGTTGATGAGGCGAACGATCGCCTTTAAAAGATAAGGCAACGAAATCGGTGCGTACTGTTTGGTTTTTTCAGTATCACAGAAGTGATGGCGACAAAACTACCACTAATAATTCGCGAATACCAGCCTCTGATTGTGAGTGAAATTTTCTCCACAGTTTGCTTACTTAGCTTTAGCGTGCCTATTCACGAAATTTGTTTTGCTTTTCAACCGCTGTTGGGTAACTCATGCACTTTGGCTACCTTCGTATCGACGTTCATCAGAACGATAAAACGGGGCACGTTTCAGGCAATTAACGGAACTAACTGGCGGGTTTTCAGCCGATGGCCTTAACTACCTGCTCTAGTTCCAGGATGTTGTCTGGACACTCAGAGGATGACTTACCACAAGAATCCATTAATTCAGTTCCGCCTGATTGATTTACTAATTTCTACCTAGGCTCCATTGCATTACAACTGCATATGTGACCAGATTGGTACGCTACACGTTAACTGGTCCCAAAATTTGTGTTAGAGAGTGAGGGATCAAACATTGGTAACACCGGTGTTGTTACTGAGTGCACTCATTAAACGGCCATCTGGCAGACGATTTGCAACTTGAATGGAGTTGGACGTAGGTTACTGCAGCGCCTTTTAATTGCACATTGATTTGTTGTGGTGCTGAAGGAGATGGCTTGTGGGCGTTCCGATCAAGAGATGAATGAGCTGCTTCATGTCAACGAGGAATCACCCTGTGATCACTTAGGATCTGCGATCATCAAGCATACGCAGTTCTCCACATCCAAACTCATTCACAAGCTCTTGTCTCACGACATTTTGGAAGACCTAAAGCCGACTGAGAGTTTCCGGATAAGGCGCCAATTTTCTAACGATGACCCTTCACATGGCGACGTCTGGAAAGCATGCTTTTTCAAACAGTTACCAAACACCATCCAACCAGGGTCGGATCATCAACCCTTGAACAGACAGCTGATACGGCAGAGCCCATAATAGAGGCGATTAAATCAGCCCAGGTTTTCAAACTTGGCACTCCTATGTGCGCCGATTCGATCTAAACTTCCGTTTCTTCCTACACACTATGCGTCATATTCCCACCATATGATGCATTTGTGGCTTCCACTTCATTAAACCGAATCTTAAATTAAAGTTATAGGCCAAAATTTTACATACATGAAACAAGCTAGCAAAATGATTAACTGTGTTCCCGAATGTAATGCAAACCACAAGTGCTGGTTCACACGGAATGCACAATCAGCCAGTAAACAAAATTGCTGTGTTTATGCAGTATTTCTCAAAATCCACGTCAGTTTGCTCCACAATTTTGCAAATTACATGCACTTGAAAGTTAAACGTGTCTGTGCCATTCTGCTTAAAAAGCACAATTTTTTACCAGAATCATAATACTGATAAGCACGACTTGGGATGCTGAGCAGGCAATAATGTGGTTTTCGTAGATATCGGTAAATTTGATTCAGTAATTTGCATTTGATGAGTTGAAGACAGTCTAACTAATGAATTACCAAACTTTTGCGTTGTAAAAATCAGTTAATAGCTTACATGGTCATGAATCAAAATCGACTACATATTTCAATCGATAGTGCATACACCTCTTCACGCTGCTATTTCACTTTTGATCTTCCATTTTGCACTGTCGCAGGCAGCTTTGTTTGTAATAATCTTGACTATTTCAGAGAAAGCCTTAATGACAGTTCAGGACATTTTTTGCGTACGGAACTAAACATTTGTTTTCAGATGTGGTTCTCGCGCAAACATGCGCATTTACGTCTGTTGCAAATATGCCAGGCATCCAAGATGCATGATTCGAAATCACGGTATGCTGGCTCCTTCGTTCTGTTTGTAGCAACTTCTTCATTTTCTTACACCAGGGTATGGAATGCAATGAGAACAATTACTGCACTGCAATCTAATTGCTTGCAATTTGGGCATTTTAGTGCGATAAGTAAGTTGACAAAATCAGTGCAAATTTGTTGTGGTTTATTATGGCGTGTTAAATCATTAACCAATTAGCAGCATTTTTATGGCAACGAAGTACCATCAAAGGCAGTGGATGATAAAGGTCCCAATCGTCATTCCGTAGTGCAGAGCAAAGCAAAATGCAACCTCAACTGATATGTTGCACAAAAACTTTGTACCAAATGCCACAGACGATTTGTCGAAATATCGTTCATGGCATTATGGAACTGAAAAGCATGATGTGCAATTAGTTTTCTGAGACAGTGGAATGATGATTAGTAGGCGATTATCTTCGTAAGAAGATCTGCTTTGCAGTTGGTCTGCAGTTAATTGCTTCATTCTCCTAAACTTAGCATCGGCTGGTCATAATAAGCATGAGCTGTGGTTAGCTGAAGCTATAGTGATCATAATAGCAAAGATTCGCCCCCAAAACTCGTGGTTTATTTTCTTATTGCTTGTTTCGAAAAAGGACGGCAAGGGACACGATTGGCTTGAATACTAGCTCTCGCATGACGGTGCCTTTTTTGATCACTGTGTTATCCTGAGTTTTCAAGTTGAGACTGGATGGTGTAGAATACCTCAGCCTTACTGTGGGTAAGACTGTTACAAACAATTTTTCTTCATTCACTAACCACAAGCCAGAACTAATCGACAAAAGTCACCCATTCAAGTTCATCATAGTGGCTACGCTACCCATAAAGTGCTTCTCATTTGTCCTTGTGTGTGGTTGGCTGCTGATCTACGCATGGCTTTCAGGCGACCGGAGACAGATGATTGGCTGGCTTGACCTGATCCCTGATGTCTGCGACTTAGCTGCACTAAAGTTTAGAATACCCGAGCCCTAATGGGAAAAATACCGGTACAACAGAACAGGCTTTATTGACCAATCACAAGCCAGAGCCACATGTCGGGCGCCTTCCATCCGAGTCCACGATGCTGGCCACGCCGCTCACTATATATTGCACCTCAGTCGTGTCCTTCTCTGGTTGGCTGCCTTCCTTTCCCGCACGCCATTGGATCGCAGAGGGACACAGGATTGGCTGCGGCCAGGTCGTCCAACATGTCTGCGCCCTAATCCGACGCCACTGTAGAATACCCGAGCCCTAATAGGTAAAAGACCGACACAACAGAACAGGCTTTATTGACCAATCAGAAGCCAGAGCCACGCGTCAGGCGCCTTCCATCCGAGTCCGCCACGCTGACCACGCTGCTAATTATATACTGCTCCTCAGTCGTGTCCTTCTCTGGTAGGCTGCTTACCTTCCTCGCATGCCATTATAACACAGAGAGACACAGGATTGGCTGCGGCCAGGTCGTCCAACATGTCTGCGCCCCAATCCGACGCCGCACCACACTACACACAAAAGGTGCCTGTAGAATAATTCTTTGCATTCGTGACATCTAACTCGTACTCCTACATTGTCCTTTCTGAATTTAATCAATGGCAGTTCTTTTTGGTGGAAAATTGCGGTTTTTTCCCCATATTACCGTTTGTGCTTTCTATTCTGTAACCTGAGTTTTACATTCAGAACCTGAACACAACCTCTAAATGCCAGTAATTATTTCGTTAGGGCGGGTATGTAAGGGATGATGTAATGTAGGGAAAACAAAAGGGTTTCATTGTATTTAATCTATTTTCTTTTACGGATGATATTTTTGAATTCCCATGTAAATGCATTGTCACAAATCCTACGTAAATCGCTTTGTTAGATTAGTTCCACCTTTTTATCTGTTTCTGTGCAATATTTCTCCTAGATTTTGATCCCCGAATGAGTCTCAACACCAGACCGCCTGATTATCTGTCAATGACCCGTGGACAACTCCAACTTGCTTTAGAAAAGCTAATTGCCCTTAAGCAAAGGTGTGTTGTTCGATCACTTTGTAATCCTTTGCTATTATGGGTCCCATGATCATTCCAAGGAATTCAATGGTTTACCTAACTTAACTTCTTCTCTTTATGGTCGTTTTGTTTTGCTGAGACGTTAATGTATCGTTTTGTTTAGTTTGTCTTTAAGGCTGCCTGATTGCGGAGAAAAACTGGATAAATCAATTGTCCGGGTTAGATCTATCCTAGAATCAAAGAATTATCAGGCCGAGCAACCCTCTCCACCCGCCCACTCCAGCCGAAATCTCGTGGAGGTGCATCCTGATCTTCCGGCTGATTACTCTGTTGAAGATGATTGCGATGACCTCGCGGAGTGCCTTGATTCTCTTACTTTTGGGAACTCAAAGGAAGAGGACGAAAGTGAAGATTTGTCTAAGTTTCCAGAACGAAAGCTTAGCTTCGAGGAGATCGATCACCTTCGGCGCCTATGCAATCTTCCCAGATTAAACGAAGAGTGCACTGATTATCATCCCTTTATCTTCCGCGTTGGTGTACTTCCTCCGCCAGCAAGTGACCTCGTTTGTCTCACGGTGGTCGACTGTCGGTAAGTAAAGCAACTTTCAAGCTCGCGCTGGCTAATGTTTGTTCATTTCTCTTTTATTGAAAAGCCGGATCTTTTGCCGTTCATTACAGTTTCCTACTCATTGCTTGCTTGTCCCTGTGGAGTGTCGCATAACTGGCATGGCTAAATTTCTCGACTATTTATTTAATTGAGATGTTTTCCTCAAGTATTCTCAACATGTCTTTTGTTGGAATATTGAAGCTTCGTAAAATGTATGAAACTCCATCCTTGCGATATCTTCGACTCCTATTTGGTTTCCTACTTTAACTAGGAACGTTGAACGACGGCTGACACGACTTGGGTCATTATCAACATGGTCTATTCAAGAGAAACCTCAGGTCAAGAAGGTAGGTGCTCTGATCACTTACGCGTATTTGGGGTGTATAGGTCCAAGGTGCGTTACTGAAATTGTTGCTTAAGTACATTCGTTTGTTTCCAATCATCTATTAACAAGGAAAATTGAACAAAAACAAGCACCCGCCGCCGTCGTCGTCGTAAGACGACAAGAATCTCCCTTACCTCTTGGCCATGCTTGTTTGCCCCTGTCTACCTGCTTATTACTTTAATATGTACGTAGGGGCACCATTTCTCGTTGCTAATGGCAGTGCAGTTTATGCCGCTCAAGCAAATCGTCCGCGATGGTGCATCACCCACGTCATTGGCTCACTGATGATTCATGTGACACCCGCACGCTCCCATCTTTTGAACCTTGTCCATTGACTCCAACTGGCGACAAATTGTCTTCTGGTCGTAATTATGCTTTTGTCAACCAACTCCTGCGTGATTTGGAGTCAATTTTTTCCAAAGCGCATTAAAATCATCCTTATCGGAATCAGTGGAGTGTGTCATGGCCCAGAGCACCACAAGCCTGACAATTCAGACTTCCCACGAACTAAATTACGTTAGGTGTGCTACACATAGCCCTTTTTTTCCGAATTACCTCCTCTGTCCATGTGTTTTTACAATTTCTAGAGTCATTTTCTACCTGAAATTGATGGCGAACGCCACAGTACTTCAGCTGCCAGCGATGCAGTTTTTGATTTTTGGCGATTCATTCGTTCAGAAAACGAGGAATGTCCTACAATTCCAATTCTTGTTGCGGACTCTCCAGAGAGCCTGTTGTATCTCCGAAGGCTCTTCTGCTCCCTAAACGTCCGACATCATCATGGGGCGCGTAACGGCTTACCCAGAAATACCCGATTCGTTGTGGACGATAAGAAGTCGGAGGTAAAGAGGTAAGTACCTAAAACATTGGTATATTAACCATCCAATCGGCTGTCAGTTACCTTAAAGAGCAGGATTTTATATCACATTTGTTTGTGGCAATCAAAATTCCTTAATTAAATTACTGCCAGCTCCCATTTCGGGCCCATATGTTCCAGAGCAAGGAGTAAATAAGGAAGTCGAATTTGGCCAGTAGATGTACCCGCATTTCGGCAAGGTAAGAGTAGCGTAGACACCTGTGGTAGGTGGAATCAGATGTAATGATCTCACAATTTGATCCCCTGTGTACCATTCCTTTTTCGGGTGCTGTCAGTTGTTTTACTTGTAGAGCAGTTCCTTCATTGGATAAACTGTCAGCTGCTGTCGACTTCCAAGTCAGCCTTTGTCTGGCGCGTCTCCCTCACTTCACTTCCCTCAACAAGGCTTCTCTTGCTGCCCTGCGGCCTAAAAGCGTTGCTTGGATAGAGGTACGCCGGTACTGTGGCACTGTAGTTCACAATATTGATACCCTGTCAACTTTTGTCCAAGATTCAGGCGGTCTCTTGGGCGATTCGTGTGCAAGCTTTTTGAACAGCCACCGTTACTCTCGATAAGCTTTTCTAAACCCGTGACAAGCGCTTCTTGCTGTTGCGCAAGAAGCGGTGTTCAAGACTAGAATGTGCAGTGTGGAGATTCTACACACCAAGCAAACATCGAGCGAAACCTCGGTTGGGCCACTTTTGAGCCCTCAACTGCTTTGTCAACTCATTTTGCGCGCGTATGTCTCAAAATGCACTGTGAAGGTTGTTGTGACGGACTGTCGTCTGGGTAATGCTTGATGGCACTCCGTCATGAAGACCGTTGCATCCAATGGTGCTTTAAGTTGATGGCTTTCTGGCTTGCTGATCACGCCTGCATAAGGCCAGTCCTTTCGATATCAACAACGCTGTTGTAAGGTGTTAAAGTTGGAAACGAAATGCCCTGCCCTCCTGCACAGCGAATACTTGTTTTCGTGACTCAGAATAGATCACGTGTAGAGGCCGGTTACCGTTTAAAACCTCCTTAAGGTGTCGCTACAAGTAGATTTGAGCCATTGATTTAGTTCGCCTCCTTTTTCTCTTCAGGCCCCTTTGAACCTGTATCTCCTCCGAACGATATTTCACCCTCCCGAACACGTGGCAACCCAACCGCCTTACGCTGCCACTGTCGCCTATCCGTCCCCCCCAATCCCCCAGACTGGCGTTACGGCGCTGTGTCACGCCGACGACAAACTCCTGCACCGGATCGCTTGCGCCGGTCTCTCCCCCAGGAGTCTATCTCTCCTGGCTGGCCAAGGCAAATGGCGGGGATTCGCGGGTCTACTCTTGGCTTCAAGGGTTTCTGAGGACGTGGACGTTGTCGCTCAGCTATATCGGCATTTCCACCGAGTTCACAAGTGAGGAAGGTCCTTTCCGTAGGCCCCATCACATTGATTCAAACACCGAGGTTAATCACGTCTACATTAAATCGATAATCTGAAATTCTTGCTCCATTCGTCGACAACTTCTCAAGCATCTATTTGCAGTGGCTTATGAGTTCTGGGCTTTTACTTAATGACGCGTGGGAAAACCCTCGAGGCATTGCATCTCATGTGTATATTCGTCGTTCTAGGAACTAGAGTTGCTAAGAGACTAAACTGTGATCATCAGTCGGCGTGCTTTCTACCTCCTTAGGAGTTTATCACTGAATGCCGGGCTTTACCATGAGAACGCCAAGACCTCATCTACGCCTGCCACAGTTGTTCCATGGAACCCTGTGAATCGCCACCTGAAAACCCTCTCCATGGAGGAGTCCCTGAGGATAATGATTCGTGCCAGGGACGAATACAGAGTCAGTTTCGGGCTTACATTGTTTCTGCTTCTCTTATGGATGGTACTTTGTATTTCTGCACATCGTGTCAATCTTAGAAGGGTCAAAGTGTTTCATGGACTGCATATTAGTCTATTCGACTAAGATAATCTATTGTCAGGCCCATTTGTGTAGACCCGCAATTGGTAAGAGTACGTGTGTTGAAGTTACTGCCGTGTCTCGAATTCGTAAGTGGTAATGTGGTTCGTAGTGAGGTCTCTAGTTGACAGTGGTGTTTTGTGGATGGATTGGGCCTCCTCCGTTATTCACAATCGCCCCCCTGCAGGGTGTTCTGCCTCCAGCCCAGAATGCGTATAACTGCTGGTGCCTAGCGTAATTTAAAGTGCTCGTTTTAATATAACCTTGCCTTCAAATTTGCATACTCAACCTATCTGCGTCTTCTTTTTAGGCCAGTCAGCAAAGAGGGGAGCTGGATGTACGGCCCACGATGCCTCCTGCTTCTGTTCTTTTAACAAAGTATGTCCACAAATACTACAACTCATGGTTTGGTTTGACTAGTTCTCAATTACCTGACCTCGAAGTTGTTACGCGATGAATTCATGCGTGTATTAACGTGTCAGTCACGTATGGTTACAAGTTTCCTACAAATGGAATCACGTAAACGAGTTCTTCCATGTGATATACCCATCCTTTTCAAAGTAGCTCGTGAAGCTGAAAAGTTTACAACGTCACTTTTTATCAAATTCGATTAAGTACCAGAAATTGGCACCTCACTTGACTTCTGTCCCTTAAATTACACCAAATAAGGCCGTTTTTATCCTGTTTGCATCTGTGTCTTTCTGGATAGCGCCAGATAACTGTGGGTTGTTCTTTCTGTATTACCTAAATAGACTAATCGTCTTAAGGGAACGGCAAATTTGTTGCACAAACAACAAGCTGATGGTACTTTGAGAGCTTGGGTCACGTGTGGTAAACAGATTGCCTGGTTTCTATGCAAGCTTGCCTTCCTCTAATTTCAGATATCGTGACCAACCTTCCGAGGACGACAACGAAACAAATAGTGGAATTGACTCCGACGACAGCGAACCATAAACTGTACATTTTTATTAGATATTGTACATATTTTCACTATTCAAGCACAGAAACCATTATAAAAATCACATTTCATGTCGTGACTACTGTTTGCGCGTTACGCATGATTTAGTCGTGCCTGCATTTCAGTCACGTGAAATTTTTAGCTGCATCACCGCATGGATGTGGCAGGGATCACAGCCATTCCTCGTGTAGGTCGGCTTAGACATCAAGGCGAGTAATGGCGGCTGTTATCGTCTATCGAACCTATTTTACGATGTGCAAAGTGAGAATAGAATACTGATACTTCCCAGTAGAAAGTTGAGCTTTTGCGGTGCTCTTTGGTGGGCGAGGCGTATCCGTTGTTATCGATTTTGTCTGGGACTATCAAGCAAGACTGGATGGAATGAGGGTATAGGGCCCGTCTGGACTTATATTTCGATCAATTGAATAATAGATTAAAAACAAGAAAACAGAGGCGTAAGGCAATCTATTCGTACTTAGGAATCAAATGAAATACTTTGTGAGGGAGTTGGCGTTCAGTTGTTATTGGTAGCTTGCAGAATGCGTAGAATGTAAAGAAACAGATTCAGGATGTCCAGGTAGAGGGTAATCGAAGCAGCGATGTACTCTTCGGCCGAGAAGCGCTGCATGATCATTTGTGTGTCGAAGATCAACAGACAGGCAAATATGAAGGCACCCGCGATTGACAAAGCCAGGTGGATGGCGGGAGAGCCAAAAAAGACCTAGTTAATAAACAACAGAGTGCAAGGGGACTACTTAGAACGACATTAGAGTTCGCATATAAGCGGCTAAAAGTGTTGCTTGGACATGGTTAATCCAGTCGTTTCGTAGAACACGCCAAGATAGGCATTTAACTAAGCTAAGAGCAACAAGAGCGGACCAAGCAAGATATGGGTAAGCAGAAGGGGGCAAAAGGTGATGAAACGGTACTACTCGGGGAATTAGAAGTTATGGAAATATTTGTATTAATTTTTGAATGCTTTTGCAGAGCCACAAAAAACTCAAGGATGTGCAACCACGAGAATAAAACAATCAAATTCCTCACATTAGTAATCCCGCCGAGGAAGACAGCCATCAACAAGGCCCCGATGCAGGCTCCCCATGAAGAAAAATCGCGCTTCGTTTGCATAGTATACAGCGTTAAGCCAGTAGTGATCGCTGCAGTGATGGTTAGGGCTTGCAAGATGATGCTAACATCAAAATGAACGACTAAACGGAAATGTTAGTAAAATGCCTTGGCCAGAGGAGACATACCGGCAAGGCCTACAAGAAACGATTCCACGACAGTCTAAGGGGGCAAATTAAGAGCTTGAATGTTGACTTACAAAGCTAAATAATAGGATAAAATTGATTGGATTGTCATATCTCTTAAAAAACATGGCGATCAATATCACAAATGAAGCCACTAGGAGCCCAAATAAAATAAACGAACTAGGACGTTACAAAAAAAGATACCATACTTTTGGGTTAGAAACAGCACCACCGGCTCCTTAAAAGCAAACAAAATTGCTCCGGTCAGCAGAGTCACGACCAACTGAGCAGATAAAATACAATATATTTTTCGGAGAAAATCTATCGCTAAATTGAAAGAAAACAACTTTTACCCATTCGTACATAAATGTCCGCATCTTTGACACAGTTGTTATAATCAAAATCATTTTCCAATTTCCGACCTAGTTCTAGACTCGACATTTCGAAACCCCCTTCTAAGTAAGCTCAGATCAAATCTGTTGCAGTGAC